TTGGAGTTTTCCTACCAGTGGAAAGGACTAGGAGTAGGGGAGTTTCTGCTGCTATTTTGGAGGATGCTGGAGAAGTGGGATGAAGATTCCCCATCAGTGAAGCTGTCGCAAATGGACAAGTCTTGGGAAAAAAGAGAACTATTCTGGTTGGAAATGTCTGCAGTCGGTCGAGGGTTTGGACTAACAGAGAACAACTGAGTTCTTGACGTGGAAGCCGGTCTTCTTGAGACACTGCTGGATTCCTTGGCTTTCAAAGGCTTGGAGGAGGGAGTTTTGACAGGTGTTTGCACGGCAGTCTGTCGGCCACTCAGGAGATGTCCTGTCTTGTCACGCAGGTAGTTCAAAAAGAAAACCACAAACTCGTCTTGGCTGCAGCAGGTCAGCAGGTCACAGGAAGCAGCAACATCCTTCAACAGAATTATCAGAAAAGTCCAGCTGGTATATTAAAGTAATACGACTTACGAGTATTGAAATCAACTATGACTCAACTTTTCAAATACTGTTTTTAGTGATTGTACATAAAAACACATTGGCTTTCAGATTACATACTGGGTGTTTGATAAAGTAGCTTTTCTATAATTGATTCAAGGTGTCCTCCTAGTATTATGAAAATCTTGTGATTAAATATTTACTCGAACCAATTTATGAAGATATGTTATTGTTATAATTTTTATGATTATCATAATGTATACATCTGATCAAGATCTCTCTTGACCCGTGCAAATTTCCAAACACCCGGTGTTTCAATACCAACGTCGATCTTGGTGGCGTCAACCGACTCAAAAATTTATGCACACAGGTCTTGGACTGTCCAGCTGTCTCCCTTCATGAACTCGCCCCCCTCCCCAAGAAGTCCAAAAAGTAGCTTACCAGTAGTGTGTAGTTACCGCTAGCCTTACAAAATACGAATCACTATCGGGTACGTTCATCTGCCTTACCGGCCTCCCGTCGCCGTCTTGACTAAGCCACTGCAGAACGATTTCCAAACTCAAATCTCCTCCAGGATCCAGCAAAGTTTTCAAGATGGCCGCCATTTTCCACATCGATCTGGAAACGAGGCTAAATCGATTGTGCCTGCACAGTAATATAGCTGACCAATCACAGAAAAGCATTTTATTCTATTAGCCAATCAACTACAAGTAATGAAAGTCGGGGTCTAAATTGCACCAATGGGAAGGTAGCCGGGTTTGACCAACTGGTAAGAGTCATCAGGAAGGGGGCAAGTCTGCGAAGGGGTCACTGTTCGTGCCAGGTCTGTTATTGTTGACGACAGTAGAGCCTCAACTTCAGGACAAAGGTACGATGTGTTTGAAGGATAGATCTGAGCGTACTTGTGAACGTATGAACAATCTTATATCGGATTCGTTTCCCCCCGCAAATCGTTGAATTGTTACCCTATCTGGTACGAAACTCGTTATAACGTCACAGACTGCAGTTCCGCCCACTTGTGCTCTCCAACGTACGGCAGAATCTCGTGATCATCTCCCTCTGAGTCTGAGCTCATCAGCGCACCTTCATGTTCAGATCTGCCCCCTTTCTCTACCTGGCATGGTGGTTTTCCATGAGTAGCAGCAGATGCAGTTTTTTTTACGACGATCTGGGAGATAGAAAGACATTCTCATGTCATAATTTGTGTGTGTGTATTTGTACAGTTACTACAGTATGTAACTTGTCTGGGTTTAATGGGGAATTTTTGACAGTGTTGCCTTTTCCCTCTGAACAAGTTTGAGTTCGATCGCTTCTTTATGTCCTACTTTGTCTGTACATAACAATCTCAGCACAAAATGAACCAATATAATTTGTAGTTCAGGGAGTAACGTAGGTGTCATGGGTAAGTGCCAGAACTCTCATTTGTATCATGGACGAGTGCCAAAGACTGTCAACATTTTTTTCCAGACGTTCAGACCAAACAAGGCATGCTTCACTTTGGACCCAGCTGTGAACAGCTGTTGACAGTTGGTTGATGCACACAACTGGACTGTATGTTGCCACCAGCACTGGACGCGGCCACCAACCTAGGATGAAGGAAGCGAATGAGTTCAAGTCTTGGCTGTCCCAGCTGTCTCGAGATTTCTCGGACTTGGATGACAAGCAACGCAACGAGACTCTGGACCTCTTGATCGCCACCAGTGGTGCCAGTCAGCTGTCTCATCTGTCTACTAAACTAGAGACGTTGCTGAAAAGAGATTTCTTGCGACTGTTGCCCCTGGAACTAAGTTTCTACCTGTGTACATTTTTGGATCCTAAGACATTACTGAGGCAAGTTAATGAAGATAGATTGCTGCCATGCAATAAACCGGTAGATTCATTTGGGTCAAGCAAGTAGCAATGCACTCTGTGTCATTGCTACTTGCCAAACTGTCTGAAATGCATCGTGCTAAAGTAAACCTTTTTTTTGCTTTAACCATCTGTTGTGCAGTCAGGTGATGAACAAAGTTAAACCATTATTAATTCATGAGTCTTTCCAATTTGTTTTGTCATAATTACTACTTTTCCTATTGTAGACAGGCATAGAACCTATCCTGTATTTACATGTATCACAAAGGTTTCAGTGACAGAAACTGCTGCTGAATGGCTTTGTGAATGTTTAGGGCAAGCTGCTATGTGAGGATTTACAATGTATGCTTACCTTTCTCACAGGTGCTGCGTGGTAAGCAAGCAGTGGAACAAGGTGGTGAGTGGGTGCTCCCAGGCCTGGCATGCCGCATGCTGGCAGATTGGACTGAGGATGGATTGTGATGAGAAGTCTCAGGATGGACCACTGCTCAAACATTCCTACCTGCGGGCCATCTCCAGGCACAGGGACCTGGAGGACGGGACAGCCTTTGAGAGCACGACGCTGTATGGTCACAGTGCCAGGGTGTACGCCTTGTATTATAGTGAGGGGAAGCTTGCCACAGGATCTGACGACTTGTCTGTGCGACTGTGGGATGTGCAGACAGGGAAGTGTTTGCACGTCATTGAAACTCACACCTGCGCTGACCTGAAGTTTGACAAAGACAAGGTGGTGACAGCCTCGTTTGACAACACTTTGGCATGCTGGGATTGGGCTACAGGTCAAAGGACGCAGGTATTTGTTGGCCATGTTGGTGCAGTATTCAGCGTGGACTACAGCGATGAACTACAGCTTTTAGCAAGTGGATCAGCAGACGGCACAGTCAACCTTTGGGCTCTGAACACTGGGGAATGTTACAATGTCTTTCGGGGGCACACTGAGTGGGTGACAAGAGTTATATTGAGGAAGTGTCAAGTAGATTCTGTCCTCCATAGAGCGGGAGAGTATGTACTGATCAGCATGGACAGAAATGAAATTAAGATATGGCCAATCAGCACACAGGTCAACTGCAAACCCCTCAGAACACTGGCCGTATCAGAGGACAAGAGCATCAGCTTGTTGCCAAGGTTACAGTTTGATGGGCGGGCCATTGTTTGTGCGTCCGACATCGGTATCCACCTGTGGGACTTTGCGACGTTTGAGCTGCGCATCATTCCAACTAAGCAGTGCTCCCCGGCTCTGTTAGGGTTCGGCATGGTGTTCTCACTGATCTACCACTGGCAGCACCTGTATGTCATGGACGTCAGGACTCAGAGGTACATCTGTAAATACCCGCTTCCTGTCATCAGGAAGTCCAAGAGAGGCTCCAGTATCATTGCAGGGGACTGTGACTGGCTGGACGGGTTTGAACTGGAGGAGAAGCTAGGACTGGTGTTCGCCACCAGCATGCCGGACCACAGCATATACTTGATAAGGTGGAGAAAAAACGACACTTAGAGAGACACTGTCAATGTATTGAAGAGTGTTTAGCACCCAAGCTTCATTAATCAGGATAAATGCGATTGACAGCACAAATGGACAAGAACAATCATAGCAGTAAAATGGGAGATTTACTACTAGTATACTAGTACTTGAGCTACATGCCCTGCATACAGTAGGGCATATTGCATCAGCATGTGATTCACATACCATGTATGTTACTCTAACAAGCAAGTATTTAATGGCAGAAACAAGTATGCTTGCATAATTTGTATACATACTGTCGTATGAAACTTGAAAGCATTTCTTGCCACTTAAACCTACCTGTATATCTCAAGTCAGATATTTTAAATGTAGATTATAGTAAAGCAAGCAAATTTTAAATTATGTCATGGATCAACTCTCAAATAATTCCTTTATTCTGTTTTAACCTGTCAAATAATGCTACAGCTTAGATTAACTGGAGCAGGCAAAGAAAGAGGGAGAGAAGCGATTGTTGAGTTCTAAAGTAAGTCATTAAGTTAGACAAAGGACAAGCACAAGATCAAGCTGGCATAGCTATTTTTATACGAGTACATGTACAGTCAATGTATGAAACCTACATGTATCCAGTGACTTGGCTGCTAAAATAACCCAAGAATGAATCTAAGTAAAATGAAAGCATTGGTATTGCATACTGTCATGTCATGTAACTACTTGACATCTCAGCAAAATCTCATATACAGAGATGGGTTTACTTGGAAACAATGCAGTATCATCCCATCTCATCATATGAAAACTCCATCATTGATACATCAATCATGTTTCTACATAACTGAAAATTTTGCATATTCTTCAGTACTAGTAGTGATCGGTAGACAATGATGTACGCAAAATTTTAGCTATAAGATAGGTGCTCTGAGTGAGCAGTTTAGGAAAACATGTCAACAAAGATTGTACACAGCTGAAAACAAACATATGTACATGTAGTATTACAACTATTAGTTGTAGCAAAGACAGCAAGAATGAGATACAGATTACATACCTAACTTCTGTGCAATAATAAACAAGTTCTCATAATTCCTTCAATTCTGCATGAAATGCAGACAAATCAGTCTTTTTCATCAATGTTAGTCTTAACTACCAAGACATGTCTAACGGTGCACACACCAATTCTTCCGCGACAGGGGTCCACTGTAGTCCCCGGAAAAAAAAGTGACGAAGGGGTTCCGATGGTTCATGTTTGAGTTTACATTTCTCATAATCTGCTGCAAAATGGGATTAACTACTAACATGGCTGGAAAGTGTAAGAAGTGGCGTGTTTTGGGTGAAAATGGATTTCGGGCCCGAGGCTTACTTCCGGGTGTCCTTCCGCCCTGAGCGCGGTGCTTCGGTCTGACCTAGATATGCCTTGTATGCGTTCTGGGGGTGCTGTAGCTATGCCTCGCGCGACGGGCTATTGTGATAATCTCAGTGTTAGGATTTTCTTTATACTTTCCTTAATAATACATAAGGGTTTTCTCTTTCCGACCATATAAGTCATATCGGTGGCTAAAATCTGGGTGATGGGTTTAATTCCACGTGAAAATGGCCAATTTTTGGCATCATTTTTCATCGAAAAATGATTTTTCCCCCTAAAATTTACTAAAATGTGAGAGGTGAAAGAAATTGAAATTCTATTGTTCTCGTAGCTAGAGGGATATCCTTCATTTGCAAACAGAGTGTTTTGGCTTAAGAGGTATTTCCTGAAAGAGACGGTCGCTAGAGTTGAGGGTATGCAGAATCGAATTGAGACCCAAAATAAAACTGGGGTGTGCCCCCCTAATCTAAGTCTGATCACTATCATCTTCACTAGACTCCTCACCCTCATCATCACTTTCTGCACCTGTATCTTTATCCTTTCCTGCACCATTACTTCCTCCACTTTCACTTCCTCCACCATCACTGTCTCCATCATCATCACCTTCATTGTCACTTTCTCCCTCATCAGTGTCACCTTTTTGTTCTGCATTCTGATCACTGCCTGATCCCTTTTCCTCTTCTGGTGCGACCTCAGTTGTACCCTCTCCACCACCCTCTCCCTTGTCATCTACTGGTCCCTCCTCTCCCTCACTCTCCTCAGACTGGGACCCCTGCGGTATCTGAAATAATATCCTTTGATATAAAATTACCATAATCTCCACCTCAACTTTAGATTGATCAAATTCATATTAGAACCAATACGTGAAAGTTTTTTTTTACCATTCCAATTTTCTCTTCCTCATCAGACGACAATGGCTGCTCCTCCACTTCCTTGGCCTGGATTCTGCAGATTGGTGGGAACAAACACAGTTTTGCAATTTTTACACTAATCACAACAAAAAGAATGAGAACATTTATGCTTGTTATAAAACAAAGCCCTCTTCTCATTACAATCATTGATGTCAGTTCAGCAGTCACAAGCAGTGCCTTCAAGTTCATTTTTGTACAGGATTAGAGACTGAGGCATGATAACATGGCATGGTTGGCACATGTACATTTACTTCTGTTCCTTGGCCCACAGCATATCTGCAATCTGGATGTATACTTTATCAAAACTGGTAACTACAAACCTTTTCAAGATCAAGCACACAATGCCAACAAGCACTATGAAACCCACTACTCCACCAATGGCCCCGAAGAAGACAGCTGGGTTGTTAGATTTGATATCAAGAGCCTTGCCAAGGGCTTTGTCCATCATGTTGGCCTTGACAACTGTAGAGGGAGAAGTAAGAAACCCATTCATTACAAGGAAGGGGCATTTGATGTAGTTTGTTTATAAACAAATTTAATATCTGCAACTGGATAAAATACTTCCAGATGTTTTGAGTGACATCCATAACTTCTTCAGTGTCAAAGAATAAACTGTCAGAACAAGTCTAATGCTGCTATATGAGAAACAGTTATACAGTAGATTAGGATGAAGATGTCAAATATGGTGAGGGTGGAAGAATGGTGAACTCGGGAGTCAGGAAAATAAAGTAATTCAAAGCATGTAAAAACAGACCATCAACATTTGGTATCGTATTGAAGAAGGGACATTCAAGGTTTCTGTTTGTGACACATCTTGTTACCCTTTAGTTGCACCCTGTTGGTTGTGTAGTGTCTCTTCGTCTCTGGATCTTTCACAGTACAGGTGTATAAGCCAGAGTCCTCCACAATAGGTTTGGTCATTACAAGACTGGGGCTCTGTGGGTACCAAGATTTGATGTGTTTTAGTCAAGCTCAACGTACCAGTGTAGAGGAAACTTCATCACATGTGACACCGTTTTTCAACTCTTTCTGATTGCAATGTACATGTGTTGACTGTTTTCCAGAAGTTGTATTTCCTACCCGAGATGTACACCTAGTTTTATCTTACCTTACCTTAGCACCTTAGTTCCTCCTGTGCCTATTGTTATCTTACAATGACCAAATATGTATCAAATGTGTGCAAATATTGTAGCTAATGTTTGATACTGATACAATGATTTTTAGATCTACTTACCTGGTAGTCTAAATTGCTGTAACATGAAAGGAACAGGTGTGCTGCATGTTTCTACACTTACTTTCAGGTCGTCCATTTTCTTGATGACCTTGTTATCCCTTTTCCATACAGCAGTGGCCCCCTTGATAAGGATGGCTAACACCCCGGGTTTGCAGGGCAGCTTGGTGTGGGCTTCAGACTTCACAATCTGTGGAGGTTTAGCCTTGTCTGGGATAACTGTTGGGAGATGGGGTGGGCAGATGTGGGGGGAAGGGAGGAGAGGGTGAAAGGCAATACAACTATTGGGTGATAGCTGTGGGGGTATAGGATAAGGAAAAACAAAAACGAGCAACTTGTCAGTATTTAAGTATGAAAAGATGTGCATGTATAGATATTCATTATTTAAAGTAAAACTGCCAAGACAACACCATGTCATCTACTGCTTGCTGCCAGACAAGTTATGGATAGTCCCGAATTTGTGTCCTGAAGGATTTCATCTTTAATCTAAGATATAAATCCTTACCTGTTACTGCGTATATTATTGGCCTGTCTTTCAAGTCACCCCTTCTGCACACATAAATGCCTGTGTCTTCAACCTCAGTGGACCTGATAGCTACAGCAAGGCAAATGACAATGTCTGAACACACAAGGTTTCTGATGCAAATGGAATTCCAGACATGATGACTGAAAGTGTAAGAAGATTACTCTGACCAAATCTGTTTTATAAGTTTCTTCGTCTTCCCTTGTCATTGAGGTGAGGCCTGTTGCTTTTCAAGTAGCTACTAGTGCAATGCAGCTGCTTTTTTAGCCAAGCACACTGGGTCACACCTACTCTTCTCGATAAGTTTTACATCATGATAGTATGTAATATTGGTTAACTTAGGCCACACCAATTTAATTTCTTGGTTAACGGATTTTTCAAGAAAAATAATGGAGCGGGCGGGCGAAAAAATAATAAAAATAAAAACAGGCCTAGGCATCCTATTATGGCCCAAAATGGTACGATATGAGCCATGAAGTCAACATACCAGGCCGGTTCAAAATTTAAGCAATGAATTTTGCACTTTTAATGATACCACTGCATTGAAAGATGGAATAACTTTAACAAGTAGGATAAAAAGGACTGTATTCAACTGTTCAGGGCAAAATATGAGCATTTTGCTGTTGATTCTGAATTTTTATTTTTATTTGCAAATTAGAAAAAAATGAAGCGGCGAATCCGTTAACCAAGAAATTAAATTGGTGTGGCCTTAGCACTGTCACAGTCATGGAATTCAAATTGCTTTTATGCTATACAAATGTCATGTATGTGTGTGGATTGTGCAAAATGAACCACTGAGTAATCAAAGGACATTTCCGGACCATTCCTGTCCCCAGATGCTGCAGGATGGAGGTACAGGGTTCACAGATCTGCTGATCGTCATGGCAACTCTGGCAGGTCCATACAGATGTTACTACAATGTACTAGCTTGATTTGGGTAAAAATTGTCAGAAATGCATATTATTGGCTTTGCTCCACTGCATGACAACCCAATGCCCTGCGATTTGGCATTGAGATAGCTTTGCACTTTTTGCTTTTAATTTTGATTTAGGCTAGCAACTTCTATTATTTACCTTATTGCGGGTAAAATATAGTACAAAACATATCTTATTACACATGTACATAGCTTCTGTGCCACTATATCATGGCTCGATGACACCCTGAAATCAAGTTTCAGCCCTTGGTTACAAAGTCTCTCCTATCCCACTTTGAAGTTCTGCAAGACTCCCGGACTGGATGTCCTCGGGATTTTGGGGCCGTGTAACGGTTGGAGCAGCTGCTGCACCATCCACTTCCCCAACCTCATCTTTCTTGCTTTTTCAACAATAACTCGAAATTGTCCCACAAAATGTATCATTATGGTGATAAGTGGTAGATTCACTCCCCTAAATGCTATTATCAGCTTATTTTGGGTAAAAATGTCAGAAATGCATATATTTTTGCTTTTGTTCCACTTTATGACAGCCCAATACCCTGCAACTTGGCATGGGGATACATATAGCTTTGCATAAATATTATGCTAATATTTTGCTTCCAAGTCTTGCAAAATAAAGCTTATTTTGGGTTAAAATAGTAAAAAATCTATATTATTGGCTTCTGTGCCTCTATATTACAATGTACAGTCGAATGACCTGAAATTTGGAAAGAGGATAGTGACCTTGGTGAAAGGTCGAAGAATTGGGTTTTCAGATGTTCAGGGTTGGGTTTTTAGATGCCTGCCTTATTTAGGTTATTTGGGGTAAAAATAGCCAAAAATGTATGTAACTCAGAGACCTATGTGCCACAATATTATGGCCCAATGACCTGCAAATTGGAGATTCAATGTACTTTCAAGTTGATACCAATGTGCTTGTTCATTT